GCGTACTACGACCAAAAGGCCTCTCACGAGGAACTCCAAGTGGGAGACAGGGTCTGGTACTACACGTTTGCACCCAAAACTGGGAGAAGAGAGTCCGGGACCGGAACTCTCGCCCGTAAGCTGATGCCCAGATGGACTGGACCCCATCTGATAATCGACAAAGTGTCTCCAATTATCTACCAGATAAAAATCAGTAAAGGCCAAAAAGAACCAACTGTTAAATGGGTACATCGAAACCAGGTTAAACAACACAAGGCGTGCAATAACTCCTCAGGAGACAAAGATCTCACAAAATCTGACCTCGTGGGAATAAGGGTCATCCAAGCAGAAGATAACTAATGGATAAGAAACTTAACCATAGTTTAAATTCACAGGACCTACCCTTGACCATTACGAAGCTAAGACCTATCTCTTTGTGTTTCCATAGGACAATGATGGTACCACTACTGGTAATCTTCACCCTCTTGGGTGCCACCCAAGAAAACAAAGCCCTCGTACATGCGGTAAATGAGTTAGCCCTTAAGGTTAAAGCGGAGTACGCTGTCGCACACCTAATGGATAGGATTTGTGCTGACATGCTTAGAGATATCAGTTCGTCGGTAGATACACTAGCCACCGGTAGGATCCCACCGTATCTAGTCTCTCTACAGATGGTGAACGACATCCTCAGCTCCGCTACGCACGAAAAAGTTACGCAAACACAGGCACACTTGGCTTACACTCTCGGTAGCGCAATCCCAATCTACGTCAATCACAAAACATTTGAAATGGCGTTCATTATCAACCCACCGATAATTCCCTCAAACGGCATATATAGACTCAGGGACGTCGTAAATGTTGGCAATTGGCACGGCGAAAACCATGTTCAAATTGACACACCAAGGATGGTTGCGTACCACGACGACAACCCCTCAGTTTACTTAGCTCCAAACCTGCAGATGTGTGTTCTCACTCGGGAGATACACTATCTGTGCCCGAGCAAACCGTTTATGTGGAATAAAACCGCGGGCATATGCGGATTAACACCTATTCCGGAAAATTCTAAGTGCTCAACGACCGTAACGCCTCGACACCTGGCTAAAGATGCAAAAGCGGAAATAATTGGCTCTCGTTGGCTAGTGAACGCTCCTCAAAGAAAGGCGATCATAGCTTACGACCAACCCGGGGCAAATAGACCTTTGACGTTACCGGACAAAACGATGTGGATCAGTGTTCCCCAGGGAACAACCATACACATTGGTGATTTGACGCTCTATCACCTCGATCCGGGAACGATGGGACGCGACTCTGGATGACTCAGAGTACCTGGGAAATATGTCTATAGACATAGATCCAGAGACTCTGGGAAGGATCCGTTTTGAAGGCACCCAAGTCGTCGACGTGGAACCAATAAACCGAGTTCTCAAGTCCCTCAGGTCCACAACTCAGAACCCGATCCAACCAATTACCTATGCGTGGTCGAGCGCGGACACATTAATCATAGCCCTGCTAATGACGATAACCCTCGTATTGTGTGGGATACTCGCATCCCTGTTCCGGGGCCAAACGTCACTCCGAGTCGACGTGGATCGCCATGCAGCGCACCTCGATATGATTATGCCTCGCGTAAGCGGGTCCGCAAAGAAGCCACTCACACGGGACAGCGCGACTGAAACTGACAACCAGTGTGAGGAGAAGCAGTGAAACGATGTTTCTAGATGCTTAGTCACTACTCTTGTTGGTGTTGGAACGTTGTTTAGTTGATTTTGGTTGTTTCTGTGGTAAGAATGTATCTTGTGTGTAAGTTAAGTTAGAGACTAAGAGGCCTTTAACCATGCCAACATGCAGTTCATTCGCTAAATTGCAATCCTTGCGGAGTCAATGTATATTATTGTTACCTTAAGTACCATAATCTACATTGGTCTCACATCGCTTAAGCCGAACCTACTCGAACAATTCTATTCGGGGGGATAGCTAATTCTTTTTGATAAGTCTCGCCATAGACTTCCAAAACATTTATGGGGAAACCAAACACCCAATCTCAAGTCGTTCGTCTAAAAGACAACAGACATTTGAACCAAACTATATTTTGCCATGTAAAGCTAACTTAACCCAAGTTAGAAATGGAAAAGTAGTTTGGAACCCTTTTCTATAGGCTTAAACCCCTGTAGTTACCCCTTTTCAGCATGCTCCGCCCCTTAACTGGTAGTCGTAGCTGTTCCCAACCATAATAGCTTACACACCAGGTGCATATAGTTTAAGGCTTTATGTAAAATCACCTTCATAAGCCCACCTTAAACCACATAATTGCATGACACATTTGAACCAGAACGACACAGGCTGGACGTCGCTGGAGACAACCTTCGCTGGAGGCGACCTGCAATCCTGACGTTGGTCTCCACTCTTCATCCAGTGGCCGCATCTTCAGTTCAACCCAAGGGTACCCCTCTGTATGCCGATTAATCAACACTTCCAATCGTTGTGGATTTACCATTGTGGATTATATGACTTTTTCCAATGGATTACAGACTCTGTTTCCAAGGGTTAAAGCATTGCTACAATGGAATTATCGAGATGATATGGGATTATAATCAACACAATGGAATTACCGAGAACATTGTGGAATTACCTTGACTTTTGTTTTCCTTGCTGGATTACTCTTGACTCTTGTTTCTTTGCTGGATTACATCAAGCTTCAAGGACAATCGAAGGCGTAAGTCCATAGTTGGAATTCATCCCCATGGACAGGTGATGATTTCCAAAGGGGGGACTGTAGTGGACTAGGCCCATGTCAAAAACTAAGTCTAAGGTCAAAAATCTTGACCTTAAGAACCTTGTGGGACAGGAACTGTCATTTCATTGATTTGAATCCAGAAATACAGGTTCACCCATCCTGAGACTTTCTCTCTTGAAGATTCAAGTGAAAAGAACACTCTCTGTTTTATTATCATTACTATTTTACAAATGTTGATAATCAAAGTGTCTTAGTTCAAACCATTTTAGATGTTGCAGTGAACTAATCAATTTTATTAACTGTGTAATGATTTTTCTCACGCAAAGTTAGAACTCATGTCAAAGCTGTTACAGAGTAATTATGCCTTTTCTGATTTCTGCTTTTGAATGAGCAAGTGTAAGTTGGTCCAAGGTTGGAGTCAAACGCAAAACAAGTTGTTGGCATGTTTTTAGAATCCTCTCAGACATAAATATAGAGGTTTTTGGCACCTGTTTCTGAAACGCGCCAAAACAAAACTCTCTCTGTCTGTGAGAACATTTCTGATCTTTCCATAACAATTCTTGCTGTCTTCTAACCTCTTACGTCACAAAACACACCCCGTCTGGTCGGTTCTGACCAATGGTAATACTCCCAGATGGACCGGAAAAGAGATCTTTAAAATGTCGGTACTTCCTGGTCTACTCAGTTCTGTTGAAGTTCTGCTCGAGATCTGTAAACTACACAGTTCAACCAGTTCTGTGAGAGAAGCCCAGTTCTGTGAGAGACGGGATGATCCTGACATGACAACAGAGCTCTTCCGAGTTCCATGGGATTATAACATTTTCACTCGCCACTACTTCTGACGATTCACAGCATCCTAAGGAGACGCTGGACAGGTAGCGTTAACGGAGCTCCATATCTGCTGAGATAACCTCAGAAAGGTAATGAGTCAAGTTTCCTACCAAGCGTACCGGGAGAGCTGGGTTCTGACGGAGAGTGTCAATTCTGGTGAACACTTCCCCTCCCATACCATCTTTACTCCCTCTAAACTTCTTTCCCATCTTTAAACTTTCTATCAAGTAGATATACTTCCAGATATTTAGAAATGTCTGTGTAAAATGCTCAGCCACATCCGTGTGGGTAAAAGATCATAATTGTACAGTTTCATAAATGTCTGTGGTGAAGCAACGGAAAAATCATGGCCGTATGATTTTTCTTGATTGATTGCTTATGTTGTTATTTTCATAATTTGCCAAATTAATGTAAATGTTTGATGTTAAATTTTGATTCTGTAAATAAATGACCGCATTCATTTTGATGGGTCAAATATAAATGACGTCTCACGTTTGCATTTCCTTAAATTCAATGCACGTTTTATTCAGTCCAGAAAAATGAGGAATCCGTGTTAAATGATGAATATATCCGAGCATCTGTTCATCTACATTACTGTGCTCAGTTGGCCTGCCATCTCTCCTGACCTGAACCCCATAAAGAACCTGTGGGATATTGTGAAGAGAAAGTTGAGAGACGCAAGACCCAACACTCTGGATGAGCTTAATACCGCTATTGAAGCATCCTGGGCCTCCATACCATCTCAGCAGTGCCACAGGCTGATTGCCTCCATGCCGCATTGAAGCAGTCATTCATGCAAAAGGATTCCCGACCAAGTATTGAGTGCATAACTGAACATGATTATTTGAAGGTTGGCGTTTTTTGTATTAAAAACGCTTGTCTTTCATTGGTGGGATGAAATATGCTAATTTTTTGGGACATGCATTTTGGGTTTTCATGAGCTGTATGCCATAATCATCAGTATTAAAACAATTAAAGACCTGAAATATTTCAGTTGGTGTGCAATGAATTTGAAATATATGAATGTTTCATTTTTATCATTGCATTATGGAAAATAATGACCTTTATCACAATATGCTAATTTTTTGAGAAGGACCTGTACTCTCAGGTGTCTTCAGCTTCCTGCTGCTCACTTCTTGCATAAAGGTGGCTGTGAAGACCAAGACCTATGCTGTTTTTTTATATTTTAATCTCGCGTATTTATCTGATTTTCATGTAACCAGATTTACAACTTTTTGATATGAATGTAAAAATCTTTCAGTGTTTGTGGAATCTACTAAATAAAAGGGTCCAAGGGGCCACATGTAGCAGCCAAGTCCTCATGTGTCTTCACATCATTTGGTCGTATTAAAGTGAAACTGAATTAGTGCACCTGCTTTCAGTCAGTAACTGTGGAAGTTTTCTCTGAGATAAAACAGAACAGACCTTCACTTCCTGCTGCTCCTCTGTTTACCAGTGACGACCTTTTCTCATTGCCGTACTGCCCGGGGAAGACCCTGGTTGTCGGGGCGTCCTACGTGGCTCTGGAGTGTGGTGGTTTCCTGGCCGGCCTGGGGCTGGACGTCACCATCATGGTGCGCTCCATCCTGCTGAGGGGGTTTGACCAGGACATGGCCAACCGTGCTGGAGAATACATGGAGGAGCACGGAGTCAAGTTCATCCGTAAACATGTCCCCGTAAAGGTGTGTGGGGGGTGGGGGGTGTTCAACTAAATGTTATTATCTTTTAGCATGAGCAGCTTGTCGTTTTGATTTTTCCTTCTCTGCAGCTTGTTGTGGACTTTGAACAGTGTCAGGTGACTTAAAGTTGTCTCAGGACACACGGCTGCTGATTCATGGTCCGACTGGATTAAAACAATTAACTTTTACACAATCTTTGCTTTTCTTTCAAAACAAATCCAAGTGTTGGCACCACTTCTGCTCAAATAATGTCCCATAATGATTAAAACAGTGTTTCCCTGAGGTGTCTGGCCTGGGGAGGAGCGCTGTGCAGCTCTTCTCACTGCAGTTACTCTTCAGGGCTTCTTGTCAAACAGGAAAACACTTTATTTTTAGTTTTCAGTGGGTTTCACTCAAACCCACTTCATTCAACAAGTGATCAAATGTGAAAAATAAACGGTTTTAGCAGTGAGTTAGTTGGTTTGTCTAGTTGACTGTGTTGTTGCCAGTCATAAGGTTTTAATGTTCAAGTACTTTTAGTGACATGAAAGTCCCTGAACTATAATTAAAAATAGCATCTGTACAGAACAGCCTTTGTGTTTGTCAGACTGATGGATTTCTGACTTTAAACAACTATTTCACATGCGGCGGTGCCCCCTCTGCTTGTGAGGGTGATCTGTACGCTAATGGTGACTGAAAATATGATCATTTAATTAGGGATGCACAATATTAGATTTTTGGCCGATATCCAATATGCAGCATTTAAAATAAATAAATATAAAAGCTGAACATCTGTGGTGTTTGTCAGATCGAGGAGCTGGAGGCCGGCGCGCCTGGCAGGCTGAAGGTGACGGCCAAGTCCACAGAAACGGACGAGCTCATGGAGGATGAGTACAACATGGTACGCCACATGTCACAGCTGTCATGCTCTGCTTCCTGTCACACCTTCTGTCTTTTCATAAATCTTCAGACACTAATAACTTTAATTAAATTATTTAAAACAGTGTTTTAATTAAAACATGGTTTCAAATGTTGCATTTCTAAAATTCAAGCATCTTTCTTTGGTAATATATATTTTTAGTTAACTTTACTACATATATTACACATCACAAGTACTGAACAGTGTTAGGCTTTTAACAGTTTTATTTGTATAAAGTGAAGCATTTGTCATCTTGACACAGTCTCAGCTCTGCCTTTTTTACAGCTCCACAAGTCCCTAAGAGGAAGGAACTACTGTGATTCAACATCTGTGAACAGCTGTGTGATGTTTTCTTTCTCCAGTTACAAATAAAGCAGCAACTCTCTGAACACACTCTGTCCTCCAGGTGCTGATAGCTGTGGGCAGAAACGCCTGCACAGATAAGATTGGACTAGATGTCGCAGGGGTTAAAGTAAATCCAAAGTAAGTCTGAATCAACGTGGGGGTGTTAAGACTCAGAACAGTCACTGAGAGTCAGCAGTTCTTGCTCTGCAGTGTGATTGGACATTTAGGTGGATTAGCAAGCTGCAGCATGTGAGTCAGAAGTGATTTGCCTACACTCCTGTTTATTAATTTATTGATTGATTTATTGAATCTGCTGAGGATCAAATTTAAAAACCAGATCACAGATCTGACAGTCCAGGGTCAGCTCAGCTAGTTCTGTTAAAGCTTCGACAGTGCAACTGTCTTCTGGTTTTTATATTTGTTGAGTCACTGAGCGGTCCAGGCTGAAATTAAGAGGTTCTGTTCTGGTCCTGTGACCTGAGAAACCTTCAGAAAACACCTGCATCAGTCAGAGCTGCAGTCACGCACACTTCCTGTGACTGGTCTTTCTAAATTACCTTTGACCTTGTTCTAAAGCATGATAAAATCAATGAAAACTTTTCCCTCTCTCCTTATTTAGTTGATTTATTATTAAAAACAAACTGCACAATGTTGCAACGGCTACAATCTACAGCATATTCTTAGTTTTTAAGAATAGGGTGGAAAATATATTTAATAAAAACAATTTATCATGTATTATTCTTGATTTATTTTCTGAGGCTGCTGGATGTACAGACCCTTTCCAAAAAATGAGAATATCATGGAAAATAGTTAAACTTCCATAATACCATTCAAAAACTTGATCTTTAATAGATGATAGATTCAGGGCCAACAATTTAAACGATTTCAAGCATTTGTTGCACAAAAGTTCATAGCTAAGGAGGCTGGCTGTTCAGAGTGCTGTGTCCAAGCATATCAATGGAAAGTCTAGTGGAAGGGCAAAATGTGGCAGGAGAAGATGCACCAGCAAAAGAGATGACCATGGGCTTCAGTGGTTTATCAAACGGAGAAGATTCCAGAATCTGGCAGGGATCCAGAAAGAGTGGAATGAGGCGAGAGTCACAGCATCAAAAACCACCACATTCAGACGCATCCTGAAGATGGACTACAAGTGTTGGGTTCCTCTGTCCTCTTTTCTGATGAAAGTAAAAGTGTACCTTTCATTCAGAAATCAAGGTCCAAGGGTTTGGAGGAAGAAGGGTGAGGAATAGAGCCCATACTTCTTGAGGTCCAGTGTGAAATATCCACAGTCAGTCATGATTTGGGGTGCAATGTCCGTTGCAGGTGTTGGTAAACTCTGCTTTCTTAAATCCAAGGTCACCACAACAGTCTACCAGAATGTTTTAGAGGACTTCATGATTCCTTCTGCTGAGGATCTGTATGGAGATGCAGATTTCATCTTCCAGCAGGACCTGGCCCCTGCCCCTGCCGCCAGAAGCACCAAAACCTGGTTTGATGCCCATGCCACAGTGCTTGACTGCCAACTCACCGGACCTAAACCCCATTGAGAATCTATGGGGTATTCTCAAGAGGAAAATGAGGGGCACCAGACCCAACAACAAAGAAGAGCTGACAGCAAGCATCAAGGAAATCTGGGCTTCCATAACTCCCAGGCAATGCCACATGCTGATTGCCTCAATGCAACGTCGCATCGAGGCAGTGATTAATTCAGTTTATTTATATATGCTGAGGATCTGAGTTCTTGGCTCCATTCATCCTGTCCGACTGTGTTGGATACTGTGGCTCCTTTAAAGACCAAACAGCCTGGATTTAAACATGAGCCATGGCTTCAGAACAGAACGGCTCGCGCTGTCAGACAGGAATGTCACAGAGCGGAACGCAGGTGGAGAAAGGACAAGCTGCAGATGTCCCTTCAAATTTTTTATGACTGTTGGCGCAATTACCAGGACACAGTTAAAGCAGCCAAAAAGGACTATTTTTCTAACTTGATTTTATCCCACAGCCACAACCCACGTGTTCTTTTTAGTACCATTGACTATTTTCTTAATTGAAAATAGGGCTTCCATCTTATGCCCAAACGTTGACCCCTCTGTGTGTGCCCCTGCTCTGCTGCTTTCAATCAGTTTGAGCTGGTGACTGTGTCATTTTTAGAGGACATGGTCACTCAGATTAAGCCTTCTGGTTCTCCATATGATGCTCTTCCACCACGCTTTTTTAAAGAGTCTAAAAAAGTTAAATCTGGTCCTCTGGACATTCAAAAAAAAAAAAAAGCAAATCAATAAAAAAATGTAGAAACGTTTCGTCTCTCGTCCGAGAGACTTCTTCAGTCTGAGGAGCTGTATTCAGCTCAGTCTCTTAAATAGCACCTTCTCAGAGTGGATCAACCAGTTTTGCTGCTGACAACCAAAACCAGCTGATCACATGCTCAAGAAGGACCATCAGCCTAACAATGGATCATTAGCACACTGATGGCTGTTTACTATTCACAGAGGGCTGAGTGATACAAGCAATCACAGCATTGTAAGAGGGGGACAATTGAACACGTAGGCCTCCACCCCTGTTTAATGATGGACGGTTTCTTTTCACAAAGATGGCCTCCTTTACTCCTCTCTCAAACCATCGTTCCTCTCTATCCAGGATGTGCACATCTTCATCCCTGAAAGAGTGACCGCTGGCCTGGAGATGAGTGTAGACCGCAGAGTCCTGGCCTGATGATGTTGATCTTCTGTGCTGGGCCATCCTTTTGGCCAGTGGCTGTTTAGTTTCCCCGATGTAAGACTGATCACAGCCCTCCTGACACTGAACAGCATACACAACATTACTCTGTTTGTGCCGGGGGACTGGATCTTTGGGATGAACCAGTCTTTGCCGTAATGTATTTTGGGGTTTAAAAGCCACTGGGACGTTATGTTTAGAAAATAAACGTCTCAGTTTCTCTGATACTCCCTCAACATATGGAATGACCACTGGTCTGGGTCTGGGTTCCTCCTTTTCACCTGTTGGCTGACTGGAGTCCTGTTTGGGTTTCTTCTCTGCTTTTAGGAAGGCCCAGTTAGGATATCCACATTGCTCTAGAGCAGACCTGGGCATTGTACGGCCCCAGGGCCACATGCGGCCCTTTGGTTGACTCTGACCGGCCCCCGTAAGGGTATTACAAAATACATATGTAAACAAATGAAGTTAACCAAATCCAGATATAGATCCTCTCTCACTGATGATGTCAGCTTTGCTTCACATCTCCACCTCAGACCTTCAACCTGACTTTAACATTTCCGTTAAAGCCCAACAGAGACAAGACTTCTCTCACTAAACAAGAAAAAAGAACTGATAAACACCAAATGAGATGTTTAGACTACAAATGTAGGCACGTAAAGAACCGGGACTCGAAATCACAGTTCAGTGACGATCACTATTATATGATGTTTCATAATATTTGGAGTACAAAGACAATATTGTGATATATTTACAAAGCTAAGAACTTTTTCCAGCAGTATATAAAACTCAAAATGAGTTTTGGGGGGAATGTGACTGAAAATGATCACTAATATAACGTCACAAATGGTAAAAATGTTAACAGTTTACCATTGTATTGGGAAATTTAATTGAATAAATGACATTTTTGTAGGGAAACCTCGCTTTTTTGTTGCTTAATCATAACAAATACTCTTACCAGCTTGTTAAAACAGTGCTATGTACTGCTTTTAATAATGAAATACTATTATTATGCAGTATTGAGTTAAGTTGAAATCAGGTCTCTCTTGTAAATGAGTCCTCGAGGCTCAATGGGATTTACCTGTCTAAATAAAGGTTGAATGAAAAAGTCATTTGTGCCAGCCCTCCACAATATTTGTTGTTTCTCATGTGGCCCCATGGAAAAAATAATTGCCCACCCCTGCTCTAGAGCCTGTCTTGTGTGGGATTTCTCCTTCTGCCTGGCTCCTGAGCTAGTGGGGACGCTGTCTGCTCTGTGATAAAGAGTCCTGATGACTCCTAACTTGTGCTCCAAAGGGTGATGGGAGTCAAACTGCAAATACTGGTCTGTGTGGGTGGGTTTGCGGTACACCTCAGTCTGCAAATGTCCTCTATCAGAGACTGAGACCTCACAGTCCAAGAAAGCCAACTTGCCATTTTTTTCATCTTCTCGTGTGAACTTGATGTATTTATCCACAGAGTTGATGTGGTCAGTAAAATGTTGGACTTCCTGAGATTTAATTTTAACCCAGGTGTCGTCAACATACCTGAACCAATGACTTGGTGGTGTCCCTGAAAAGGACATCAAGGCTCTCTTTTCTACCTCCTCCATGTACAGGTTGGCAACAATAGGAGAAACTGGAGACCCCATAGCACACCCATGTTTCTGCCTATAATATTGCTCCCCATATGTGAAGTAGGTTGACTGCAGGCACAGTTTCAAGAGTTGACACAGTTGTTCTGTGGAAAGCGTGCTCCTGCTGCTCAGAGTGGTGTCTGATTTTAATTTTAAACTGACCACCTCTACTGCATCATCAACAGGAATGCACGTAAAGAGTGATGTGACATCAAAAGAGACCATTGTTTCATCAGTCTCCATGATGACATCCCTCACCTTATCCACAAAGTCCATGGTGTTCTGTATGTGGTGTTCTGAGCTGCCAACTAAAGGGATGAGTACAGACGCCAGATATTTGGAAACATTGTAAGTGACAGAGTTAATCATGCTAACGATTGGTCTTAAAGGTACACCTTGTTTGTGGATTTTAGGTAAACCATACAGACTAGGTGTGGCCTCCCCTGGGTACAGTCTGTGGTACAGAAAACGGTCAATAGCCTTGTCCTGCTCCAAAATTTTCAGGCAATCTATCAATTTCTTCTTGTAACCACTTCCTGGATCTCTTTTCAGAGGTTC